ATTTATCCTGCCACTCATAACGCTTTTCTTTTTATACTAATGTCCCCCTAATTCTGACTTTTTACAAGGTGGATTTATTTTGAGAACAAAATCATATTATTTCAGAGACATTCCATTTGGGAGACTTATTGTGCTATAGAGAATCTTTCCTTTCAAAATGACCGGTATTTCACTTAACGTTTGTAAAAACTGTTTTTTCATCTGACATAAGGGGCTAATCAAACGGCTTAAGTATAGTCCTGGCTGTTGGGAAGCTTTTTAAGCACCATAGAGAGAGTACTTAGCAATGGAAATTGTGTTTATTTGTATGGAATATCGCCACTGAAATTCTGAGCAGACCCAAAGGAAGAAGAATATTGAATTTTAATATTCAAGCTAACATAACTTATTTCTGTTTCATATTTAACTAAGTGGGATAAATTGACTCTTAGTAAAACCTTATTATAGAATACAATCTTAGTTGTTGTGTTTGTTTTTCTTTAATTTGAAAAAGTTGAGTTGGAAGGCCATGTTAACTGTCATAATAACCAGTACTTCTGAGTCAAACACTGTTTTACATTTATTAATTTACTTAATCCTCACAAAAACTCAGTGAAGTAGGTATTGTTATTACCCTTACTTTTTAGATGAAATCAAGGCCCAGGTAGTTTAAATAACTTTTCCCCTGTTCATGATCCTTATGCTATATTTCTTCTCACACTGAATGAAAATTCTTTTTTTTTCTTTTATAGTTTATTGTCAAGTTGGTTTCCATGAATGAAAATTCTTAATCATGAAAGATTCTTAATCATTAATGTAAAACTAAACACATTCATTTAAAATTTTTTTAATGTTTTATTTGTTTCTGAGAGAGAGAGAGAGAGAGAGACAGCGTGATCAGGGGAGGGTCAGACAGAGAGGGAGATAACAGAATCTGAAGACAGGCTCTAGGCTCTGAGCTACCTGTCAGCACAGAGCCCGACGCGGGACTTGAACCCATGAACTTGAGCCTACGAACTGTGAGATCATGACCTGAACTGAAGTCTGATGCTTAATCGACTGAGCCACCCAGGTGCCCCAAGACATTCATTTTATATTTGAGACAATTACCTTCCCACAAAATAAGTCCAAAGCATACTATACATTTATGTCCTTTGGTAAAATAACTATTCATGTGGCAGTCAGTTCTAAAATGTACAGTTTCAGTTTATATTTTTCTATTTGTTTTACTAATCTGTGGTTACAGACAAGAATCAATAAAATGTTATTGTTACGCATGCGAATCCTTTTCACAAATAAGAATCATACATTTTTATTCTGCCACAGTCAGTGACTCAATATCTATACATTTTGTATGTAGGATTAAGCTGTGACTTTGATATTTTACATTAAAGACAAACCAAGCTAGTATTAGATTAGTATACTTAAAAATATGTTTCCCACATAAAACTTGAGATGGGCTAAAAGGAGGAGGCAAATTGATTGCTGATCGATGTTTTTTTCTTTTTGTCTTTATTATTTTTGTCTTCCTCAATTTGTTGTGATATATTAAGAGATTTTTGTCAGAGAAAGATAAATAACATATGATTTCACTCATATGTGGAATTGAAGAAACAAAACAGACAAACATAGGGGCAAGAAAGGAAAAAAATAAAATAAAAACAGAGGGTGAGGCAAACCGTACATACTCTTAAATACAGAGAACAAACTGAGGGTTGTTGAAGTGAGGTGGGGGATGGGCTAAATGAGTGACGGGCATTAAGAAGGGCACTTGTGATGAGCACTGAGTGTTGTATGTGATGAATCACTGAATTCTATACCTGAAACTAATATTACGCTGTATGTTGACTAATTGGACTTAAATTTTTCAAGTTTTTATTTAAATTCCAGTTAGTCAACATACAGTGTAATACTTTCAGGTGTAAAAACTAAAATATAAAGTGACTTTGAGTCAAGAAACCATTCCTAATGTGACCCCTTAAGGGACCATGACTGGGATGTCCAGGAGAGATCAATCCGTGCAATCTGACATGCTGCAGGTAATCTGCTAAAGCCTGGATATTGACAGACAATTCACTTAAGTAAATTGCTGGGAAGCAGGAAAGCTTCAGTTGGCTTACATTGTGAACACATACTGCGTCCCTTTCTCTTGTATTGATGGCACTGTTCTTGTGATGTGTTCAGTTCTCTGTTAGGGTCATTTGCTTTGATTCTACTTAATTTATATTTTATCTTGTTTTATGTTGTCAAATTCAGCATGTAATTCTTCAACTTAAAACATGGGAGTGGGGCGCCTGGGTGGCTCAGTCAGTTAAGCGTCTGACTTCAGCTCAGGTCATGATCTCACAGTTCATGAGTTTGAGCCCCACGTCGGGCTCTTTGCTGACAGCTCAGAACCTGAGCCTGCTTCAGAGTCTGTGTCTCCTCTTTCTGCCCTTCCCATGTTCACGTTCTGTCTCTCTGTCTCTCAAAAATAAATAAGCATTTTTTAAGAAAATGGGAGTTACTTATCTCTCTCTAATAAGCTTCAGTGATATGAAAGTCCCAGTATTTCAGTCTGGCCTTGGACTGGCTGACCTAGAAAATGTGTAAAGTCGCCTGCTCAGAGGATTTCCCAGAAGCTTCACTTCTGAGGACTCACTTGGGACTGCTTGAAGCTCGAATGACCGTGATCTCCTGAGGCTCAGATATAATGAGCATTGAGAAAATCAAGCACAAATTGATAATCTTGAATGGACATAAACTTCATATTATAGGGAATAGCCCTAATTTGTTTGATCGTTGCGGAGATAATATGTTGTCAGTGTGTCATTGACTTTTTCACTAAAATTGGTAAAGTATTTTCAAGTATATGAAAGAGCTGGTCAACGTGTTAATGTTCATCTGCTCTAAAAAGAACCATAAAAAATGATCAGTAAATTGGTTGCAGAAACATGGTGGTGGAGAATTAGATATACACCCAAATTAGAACAGTTGCCAGGTACTTTCTATTTTCATAGCTGAAAATGTTTTATGGTGGTAGGGTCAGGATCCATGAGAATTTTTTCTGCGAAGTATGAAGGTTGCATATTTAGGTACATTGTCCTCAACTTCATAGGTCTATTTTCTGGTTCCTACGAGGCAGCTGAGAAGACAAATGAACAATCAGCCGTCTGAACTTGTAGAGTTCAAGAAGGAAAGCCAGGATCTAATTGAGCTGATGCTTTATTTCTTTTGGCTACCCTACCACAGACTACCTGGTGATTGTTTTATACCCTGAAGAGAAAGCAGACACTGAGTTAAGAAAGATTGTTGCACGTTTACATGAAACAAAACCCAAAAATTGTCAAATAAGGGATAATGGTTTATCTTTGAGTGTTAAATTCATCGAATGTTATCTAAAATTTATAGCTATTTTTGGTTCTTTCATATGAACCATGTTTAGTAACCAGCGAGTTACTGTATTTTCCATGCTAGAACTTTTCCTGGTTAATAACTTTTCCGAGCTATTCTTCCATCATTGGTTTTCACACTTTTCTCTCATCACTTTTAATACTCTGCCTCTTTTATGGACCACAGGCATTCCAAAATATTTACCTATTTCTCTTTGCAAAATGGGGTTTTCACTATTTTTTTTCCATTTATAGATGTAGATGTCATTAACATAATTTAGCCTTGTATCATAGAAGGAATAAATTAGAATTATTTTACAATGTTTCCATAAACGGTTTACTATATATATGTGTGTTTTTTTGATAGTTGTTTCAAAATCTGTTACCAACAGACTTTGGTGCTCACAACATGAGTTCTAAATCTTTAACTTATTATCAAGTATTAACATCAGTTAATGTGTGCTGAAAGCCCATGGGCTGATGGCATAGACCTGTGGGGTGTACCGTAAGAAATATAACTATCACAGAACAATTTATCCACTGTCGTGTAATAGCTCTGATCTTCAACAACATGAATAAGAATTCACATAGGAAAGAATAAAAAGAAGGAAGATAGTTTTTGAATGGAAGCTGAGAGTTGGGGGTTGAGAAAAAAATAGTTATTTCCTTTTTGCTTGCTTGCTTCTTTGGATTCTTTGAATTAGAATTGTTAATAGGCCGGATGAATGTGTCTAAGAGGAATCCTTCAAAGCTGAGTGAATGATATGTCCCCAGAGAAATTATCTTACTGGGATATGATCTGAGTTTATGCCAAAGGCCTGTTTAAAGGTTCAGGATGACTAAGGACTTCTTCAGACTGGAGTTTTAACAGTCTTTCCTAAATATGCTTTCTTTTCTCTTTATTGTGGCTGAAGAATGATGAAAATTCAGATTTTATAAACTTAATCATATTTCTAGATATAAAACAACTTAATTTACCACCGTCAACAAATACATTTATATTAATATGTCACCAAAGCAAAATATGTAGCCTAAATTTGTGCAATTTAGCTTAATCCTTGCCTACTTTAGAAATACTTACTATTTTTCTAAGAGGTAATATCTTTTTGATTTAGAATATTTCAGATTTACTTTTATAGTCATGTATAAGAGAAATTATGGCTGTATTCATACTATCATCATTGATTAAGATATGAAAATTTAATGATGCAGCCTCAGAACTCAAGTTGAACATTTTCAACTTTAGATTTTTTAACTGGTCTGCTGATGCTTAAATCATTCTACCTGAGGTATATAGTAAAGTTCTCAGTGGAGGATTTCTTGTTCTGACTAGTTCAAAGAAGATGGATATAAATAAACTCTTATTTGTACATCTTGTCTCTTTTCCTTCCTTCCTTCCTTCCTTCCTTCCTTCCTTCCTTTCTTCCTTCCTTCCTTCCTTCCTTCCTTCCTTCCTTCCTTCCTTCCTTCCTTCCTTCCTTCCTTCCTTCCTTCCTTCCTTCCTTCCTTCCCTCCTCCCTCCCGCCCCCCCCCCCCCCCCTCCCCTCCCCTCCCCTCCCCTCCCCTCTCCTCTCCTCCCCTCCCCTTCCCTTCCCATGCTCCATTCATATTCACAACTGTTATAAGACAGATAATTAAAGAGATTAGATAGTTCTCTCTTTGGTAGCACATATATTAAAATTGGAACAATACAGGGATTAGAATGGCCGCTGTGAAAGGATAAGATACAAACAGTGAAGCATTCCATATTTTATTCTGATATCTGTGGGTAGGGAAACTGAGGTTCCCTAAGTGAAGTGATTTACTTAGAGAGAGAGAGAGAGAGAGAGAGAGAGTTATAGATCAATTCCAAAGTTTTTCATTTAGAAAAGATCACTTTTTCCAAAGTGATCTGAATATATTCCCACTTGATATATATTTTTTTTATAAATTAAGATTTTCCCATAGACAAATATTTAAAAGCATATTTTGGATATAATCTAAATTTTATGTTCGTAATTAAACCTTATGTCTCAATAAGGGATATATTATAGAAAAATAATTTTTTAAAAATGTGTCATATGGGAGGGAAGTATAATCAGTCAGTATGTAGAAATATTGGAAATAATGTTATACCAGATAAAAACCAATGCTAATCTGATCTGTATTTTTCATTGTGATTTTGTTTAGAAATAATGGAGGATTATGGAATTAAATTTATTTTATTTTTTTAATTTTTTAAAAAATAGTTTGTCAAGTAGGTTTACATATAACACCCAGTGCTCATCCCCACAAGTGCCCTCCTCCCTGCCCATTACCCACCTTTCCTTCCCCTTCCCCCCACCCCCCTCAGTCCTCAGTTTGTTCTCAGCATTCAAGAGTCTCTCATGGTTTTCTTCCCTCCCTCTCCCCAACTATTTTTCCCCTTTTCCCACATCGTCCCCCATTAAGTTCCTCCTAATCCACCAATACATGCAAAATTATGGAATCTGTCCTTCTCTGCCTGACTTATTTCGCTCAGCATAACACCCTTGAGTTCCATCCATGTTGCTACATATGGTCAGATTTCATTCTTTCTCATTGCCACGTAGTATTCCATTGTATAGGTAAACCACATCTTCTTGATCCATTCATCAGTTGATGGACACTTAGGCTCTTTCCATGTTTTGGCTATTGTTGAGAGTGCTGCTGTGAACATTGGGGTACATGTGCCCCTATGCATCAGCACTCCTGTATCCCTTGGGTAAATTCCTAGCAGTGCTATTGCTGGGTCATAGGGGAGTTCTATTGTTAGTTTCCTGAGGAACCTCCACACTGTTTTCCAGAGGGGCTACACCAGTTTGCATTCCCACCAACAGTGTAGGAGGGTGCCCGTTTCTCCACATCCTCGCCAGGATCTAGAGTCTCCCGATTGGTTCATTTTAGCCACTCTGACCGGCGTGAGGTGGTATCTCAGTGTGATTTTGATTTGTATTTCCCTGATGATGATGAGAGACACTGAGCATCATTTCATGTGTCCGTTGGCCATCTGGATGTCCTCTTTGGAGAAGTATCTGTTCATATCTTCTGCCCATTTCTTCACTGGGTTGTTTGTTTTTCGTGTGTGGAGTTTGATGAGTTCCTTATAGATTTTGGATACTAGCCCTTTATCTGATATGTGTTTTATTTATTTCTGAGAGAGAGAGACAGACAGACAGACAATGTGAGCAGGAGAGGGTCAGAGAGAGAGGGAGACACAGAATCTGAAGCAGGCTCCAGGCTCTGAGCTAGGTGTCAGCACAGAGCCGGACGTGGGGCTCAAACCCATGAGTCGTGAGATCATGACCTGAGCTGAAGCTGGACGCTTAACCGACTGAGCCACCCAGGCGCCCCATGAAATTAATTTTAAATAGAAATTGAAAATAGGAATCTTTGACAGAAGTGGGTTAAAATTCAGTCAGAAACACAAATGCTTATTTTTTCTTTGTATCTCCCCAAAATTTGAAATATTTAAAAATTATTTTTTTACGTTTATTCATTTTTTTAATGTTTTATTTAATTCTAGGAGAGAGAGAGAGAAAGAGAGACAGCATGAGCAGGGGAGGGTCAGAGAGAGAGGGAGTGACAGACTCTGAAACAGGCTCCAGGCTCTGAGCTGGCTGTCACCACAGAGCCTGACACAGGGCTCGAACCCACGAACCACGAGATCATGACCTAAGCGAAAGTCGGACGCTCAACCAGCTAAGCCACCCAGGCGCCCCTACGTTTATTCATTTTTTGAGAGACAGAAAGAGACAGAGTGAGCTGTCAGCACAGAGCCTGACGCAGGGCTCAAACTCAACAAACCATGAGATCATGACCTGAGCCAAAGTAGGATGCTTAACTGACTGAGCCACCCAGGTGCCCCTGAAATATTTTTAAGAATTGTGAAAATCCTTTGTCATTTTTTCATAAAAATTGCCATTTTCAACTACATATCTTATCTTTAAAATGCACTGTCTCCATTATTACCTAAGATTTTAGTTAAGTTTAAATAGGTAAAATTACATGCATATTTTAAGCCATAGCACCTATTTCTAAGGTTAGTATTATAAAACCAAGCAAGTTACATCTAATAAAGACATTGATTGATTATTATTAATTCTTCTGGTCATCCATTGAGATTTGTAGTAGTGTCAGAGAAACAGTTATATAGGATGAGGGCTACTGGAGTCTAAATATTATGTCAAATGGACAGGGGATAAATATGTATAGTAAATATACACAGCTGTTCCATCTGTCTCTTAAGCGCTTCTAACATTAAACTTCTCAACAAAACTTATTGTGTGCACTGAGTGAAATATTATTTGAAAAAATGATTGTAACTTTTACCTTTAAATTTGCATACATTTTCTTGTATTGTGACTGTTGGTATTAAATATTTGGTAAATTTCTACACTTAGCATAATTTTTTCAATTTTAATCAAAAAATTAGTTTTATTCTGTGTGATTTTTGAAGAGATGTTTAAAATATATATGAAACTATTTTGGAAATTGCCAAGCACCGTGGCCTATTATAGTGCCAATGATTTATACAAAATGAAATTTAAAAGTGAATAAATAAGGGACCATGCATTTAAAAATCCCTGCCATATGGGAGATTTCATTTTCCTACTGCCATTTGTTTCTTTTGAATACTGGTAGTCACTTGTCCTTATATAAGATGAAAATCACACTCTTGTCCTCATACTTTGATTACTGAATCTTAGTGCTCAATGAATGAATTGTTCTCACCACTAAACTCCAGGCCTGGGGCTGTTAAGTTTTCTTGGTCTTTAGCCTAAGGAAATATGACCCTCTCTGAGAGTACTTCCCATCCGCACACATAAAAGGGCTCTGTCTTTAACCATTACAATAGCTTTCTGCTTTCTTTTAAGAAAAGTTTTGTAAATCAAGAAAACTTTTGTGACGTGGTCCTTTACTGTCTATTTGCTTCTCCCTATTCTTTTTATTTCAAAGTTTAATTACGAATTCTAACATTTCACAAGTTGAAAGAAATAAAATGTTTGGCTAATATAAATCAGAACTCAAAAGTAGGACTAAATATACCTGCAAAGATCAATCTGTTATTTCCTCCAACAGGAATGTCTGAATGTTATGACTATTTACGTTGGAGAGATTTTTTTTGAGATTATTTTATGTTTATCATCTAAAATGAAGCAATGGGATTTTAAATACACTTTACACTTTTTTATAAATTATTTTTTGCATTGTTTTACATTCTTGGTTAATATTTAGTATCAAATCATACTGACTTGAGGTCCTAAGTATAGATCACTATATAAAACAGCTGCTAGTTGACCTGCTTGGTCCATTGGCTCAGCATATAATGTAACCATATTAAGGCCACAACTCTGTGTGTGATTTCTGTATAGCTGAAGTTAGCCCCGTACTCACTAAAACAGAACTCAGTATCTGATCGTCGCCTTTCATATACTACTGGTTACATATTGAGCCGACCAGATAAATAAATACATTTGATAATGGAGCATGTTTTTTACTCCAGTTTATTCCATAGTAGAAATGCATATTTATGTATCTCCATTTGTTGGCTAAAGATTTTGTAAGGTAACTGATATTCTAAATACACATTTTAATTTTCAAATAAAGCTAACTTTTTTCAACTGTAAAATTTTAAAACTCTGTGCTCCTTTTCCTATACTGTTTTCTGTCAAATACATTCAGTCATGTAGCATTTTTGTAAGTGATGAGAAAAGGAGGGAATTCCTAGCAAAATTGTTCATAGCAAATTATGTATGTGATCATTTTAAAGATTTAAGTATTGGGTTTTTTCTTAATGGCAACATACGTTTTAATTTATTGTGACCTGTAGCCTCAACTTCCTAAGGGTTAAAAACAAAATCACTGTTTTCTGTTTGCACTTGGATGCTTTACTAGTTAGCTAAAATTGATGATATTATCACAAATATTTTTGCTTGTACAGGTTTCAGGAACAAGGAGGAAGGTTTAATAAAACAGAGGCTTAGACTCTGCCTAAACACCCTGTCTTCCATGCTAATCTCCTATTTACTATTATCCATTACGGATATTTAATGGTAGGCAGCATGCAGACCAGAATTAAAGAACATATGGGTACAGTTATCCTGGTTAAAATGGCCAACGTGCCTTGTATTGTGTACGGGAGATAACAGGACAGGTGGTAATCCATCTTCACAGAGTGGAGACAGCTGGTATTTTCCGTAAGCTGAAGCAGTCTTTTTCAATGTAGTCTCACCTCGCAGCTGATATGTTGCTTATTAGTATAATTCAAAACACACATCGATGTTAAAAAGCATTCTGTTTTTCTGGCCAGTACAAAAGGTACCCTGGGGGCTATGCATAAATCAAAACAAACAAACACAAAAGCTATGTATTTTAGTTTTTGAAGTTAAAAAATCTAAGCTTCAATTTAATTGTTTTTTTCTGAACTGTAAAATAAAGATGATCTTTAGGCTCTCCTGCAAAATACTTTTCCTTTGAACTAGGTAAGAGAACAATCTTCCCTGCATTCCATATTCTCCAAAATTATGAAGTTTTCAAGGAAAAATGTTAAGTGCATGCCATCACGAGATATTTGTTAAAAGTTATTTATTTAAAAGCTATCTCCTATCATTTCTTATATTATTGAAAGAATTATTGGACATATAATGGAATCACAATAGTAGAATCTTTCAGAATCTGTTTGGAAATTGTATAACATTTTTGCTTCCTTCCTGTTATTGAGTGTAAAGAAGAAATCGAGTGTGTTGGATTCCT